CTTACTTCTATTTTGCGTCGAGTTTGTAATCCTAATCATTTGCTTAATAAAATTTGCTTCCTTTATCGTGGGGTTGATTAGTTCCGATCAATATGAGAAGAAAATGCAAGCGAAATAATATGGCTTCAAATGAATGTTGAATTTTAACTTGCAACAATCATGAACATATTCTCAACACAAATATGCACGTGAACATATTAGATACTTTAAAGCTCAAAATGATTGATTTGTATGCATCTAAATGGCAAAAATCTCATGACAAAAACAAATTTAAAAATTATTAAGTCATCCACGTGCATCATAAAAAAACTTTCAACTCAGAACAATACTTTAAAAATCATTCAAGTGCATCAAAAGCGAAAATGTTCTAAATGGCCTCTAATAAAGACTAAACGCCTAATCGTATGATCAAAATATTACGAGCACAAAAACAAATAAAACACATCCACATGTGACAAACAAGCAAAATGCCTATACTTAATGTCAAAGTATGCTACATTAACTAAAGACAAAATAAACTCAAATTCCTCTCTTCTTTTAGAACCATGCAACTTTTTAAAAAACAATAAACAATCACTTTAAAATTTATAAGATCCTTTTTTAAGTCAAGACTCCAGTCATCAACACATTACATAAATTTTCAACTGGGTCATCCTATCTAGAGGGTTGAGTTATAAGTCTTGAACTTTAAATCAAATCCTTCGCATTGCAAATTATTATAGTTGACAAAGCTTGAATCTCGAGTTAACACATATATGATATGCTTAAACAAATACACATTTTTGTTCTACATGTGCATAAGACCTTCAATGTCCTAATTCAAATAAAATTTAAATTTAATTGAAAACCCGATGCACTATTTACAAAATTTTGTCACAAGAACAATTCACAAACTGAATATTTTATATACGAGTAGAGTCTACAGGGTTTGTAATGCAATGAATATATAAATGAATTCAAACCATATGCAAATCATGAACTCAACCCTCTAAAAGAAATCATGTAGAATTGATAGGGTCCAAATAACAAAACAAAGCTATGTATTCATCCAAAATATAGTTATTTTGATAAAAAATCTCAAATGGAGAAGATTCTATGATCAAAATACCCCGTTGTATACAGATCATTTTGAGCTTATATTAGTTTAAAATATAAAAAATAAAATTTTAAAATACTCACGTAAAATTTACTGCTCTAAGTTAAGATAATTATTTATCTCTACACGCGTTAATTAAGGGTGACAAATTTAAGATTAAGTGTATCTTTGTGATCACTATCAATAGATCTCACATGAGTAAAGACAAGACATTTATCCCATAGGCATATGATTTTGTCACCAAAACGCACCACAAAAGGAGTATTTAAATCTAGTCCCTCTAACTAGATCGTTCACCCAAAAATAGTATAGCATATTACAATCACATCCAAAAATTGACTATTTACTAATGGCCCGACACTCTTGAGCTGTGAATCATAAAGTGCATTTGATAGACTATCATATGAGATTACCATTTCCTGTTGCGACAACTCGATCAAATACAAGTGGTTTTATTTAACCAATTATGGCATTCCAGACTTATTAACATTGAAATAACACAAGCTAAGTTTTTTTTCTATTAAATTGTACCCATCTTTGTTCTGAGGCAACCTTTTATAAGATTGTACCCATTTTCGCTCATTCTTCTTGATGATTTAATAAAATTTTTCATATTGTCATCCAAACTTTTCATTTAGGGTCCGTTTCGGACAGCTTTCATTCAACTTTATGTTTCACACTACCAACTAAAGCTTTGTTTGGGGAACTTTTTTGTTGCTTTCTAGAAATTTCTGTGGTGGGAATCTACTTTACTTAACCAAGCCTATTAAAATGAGATGATTATAAAAAATTGTTGCCTAATTTTTTAAAATAAAAAATATATTAATAATTACCAGCACAATTTTTTAAGAAAATTTCCACCACAACATTATCACCTTTTTAAAAAACTACACCACCCCAAACAAACCTTTGATTAACATATATTATTTTCAAATAATATGAATTTAAAAAAAAAATTGATAAATCAAGTAAAATTTTAATCATTACAAAATCTATCCCATTTTTTGCATCCTCAGAAATCCAACCAAACTTAAAATTCTACATTTTGAATCAATCCAATTGACATATAACACTATATATAGATTATGATAATATTTGAAGATTTAAAAATTTAAAAACAAAAACGTAATTAAACTTAATTAATCCTAATCTCTATGAATCGTCCACTGTTATAGTATCATCCCACTTTTAGCGATTTAATTGAGTTAGGTTAATTTAAACTTCTCCGTTATTTTTTCCCCTCTCATGCAATCCATCTCTGGGTACCTAAGCATTTTTGTAACCCCTAAACTGTAGCGGGATCGAGCGCGCGGCAAAAAGAGAGAGTCAGAACTGTTGGAGTTCTAGGAATAAACTGTAAAGAAGTCCTTATTTTCATTTAACTTGAAACATTCCTTTCTCTCTCCGATAATCCTTTTCGTAATTTGTCACGAGCTGAGTATTTCAGCAGTCCCAATTACAATAGAGGGAGGAGGAAGTGTGACCTGAAGCCGCGAACTTGATTTTAATTTCACATAGGGTTGTAAGTGGGAAAACATAGAAGAGGGAAAGATGAAGGGAGGAGAAAGAGGGGAGGAGGAAAGAAAGGAATAGAGGAATTTATGGAGAGAAATTAATGAGGGAAAACCATATCGAGGTGAGAAATAACAAGTAAATTGTATTTGTATTAAATTAAGACTACGTTTAGAATTTCTTGAATTCGAAAGGAATTATAATTTCAGGTAGTATACTCCAAACGTCGAGCTCAAAGTGGCTTGAGGAAATTCATAGCAGGGCTGCTTTGTAAATACGAGTAAAATAATCATGTGTTAAATAAAAAAAATAACTTTTTGCAGAATTACTACATCATTTATTGATGTGACAACGTACTTAAAAACTTTTACATATTGTTGACTACATATATATGTTAAATGAACTCAAGCTTGAGCCTACACTAATGATATTTCTGATTTTCCTGGTTTTATTTCTCTATTGAACATGTTTATTAAATTATTGCTTGCAGGTATTCGTATACCGTTGTATATGTATAAAATAAATGATTTGCATATGATGAATAATTGTTATAGAAAATATGCTCAAGAGAAATTCATAAGTGTTTTGATAGGTAGGCTACTATATGAATGACATGCATATGAAGGTGATAGAGAAGTTTGGAATTCTTGACACTTAATATTTATACAGGGACAGAACTGTTGGTATCAAAGGGGTTTTTAATAACTGCTATACTAGAAAAAGCCCAACCTTTATCTTTAGTTGTATGACTGATAAGTTAGGAAACAACCTAATTCGATGAAATGAAATAAATATACTTAAAAACCATACAAGTACAAATGACATTCCTAAAATAACATTTATTGATTATGAAATAGTTAAAAATATTAAAATTATTGTGAATAAATGAATGAAATATATGATTGCTGCAACTTATTACTGGTTATTGCATTCATACCTCTTACTTTAGATGCATCACATGATTAAAGCAAGTTGTGTGATATACTAGTTTTATGCATATGAGTTATGACGAAACATGCACGTTGTTTTTTTTTCGTCTATAAAATCTTTAGTCTTGATTATTCCGTCGAGCTTGTAGCTCATTTCTATATATTCTTGATTTTCAAGAAGAGGAAAGCAGTACCAAGACCAGTAGTCATTTGTGATATTGTACATTTTTTTTATTGTATAGTTTGGAAAAAAATTTTGGGTACGTATTTTAATATATTGGATTTTTAGTGATTGTGTATATTTTGGTGATATTATTATCATGCACATTTCTCAAGTTATTGAGAAGGTTGATGAATTATAAATAATCAGATTTGTGCAAGTGATGAGGAGGATCTCTTGCACTGATGTGGGTGTGAAGAGAGAGGCTGGTAGGGAATTTTGTGTTTCTTATGCCTGGACCAAACAGTTCCGGCAAGGAAAGAGTCGGTCGGCACCTCCTCTTAGGTTCAGCTTCTTCTTTCAGCAATGAGGCCACAATGTGGTTACCCTAGGTCTATAAATATTTTGTGTTCATGTTTTAGATTTAGTTTGATTGTGTTCTGTCAAGACAGTCGTCAGTATTCCTTGTTCTTACTTTTAGGGTTGTATCCAAGAGCAAGAGGTGCCTCGACTGTATCTCGTTCCGAGCGGTGGTTATCTTCTAAGGGTTAAGAGGTGCTCCGATTGTATTTCACCCCAGAGGGGTATTTATCCTTGACTGCAACCTTCTTGTGCTCCGATAAAAGATTACTATTGCTTACATTGTGTTTTGCATATAAATCGTAATACTATCTTGCATAAATATAATCATAAAATCACCTTAAATCATGTTTTCTTCATTTTCAGCAAGTTATTTTCCAGCATACCTTCAAGAGCAACAACAAAGCTGCTCACACATATGCCGAAATGGCTATAGAGAGTGATTTTATTTTGACACATGTATCGGATCAAGATTCTCTTTTTCCTATTTTGCTTGAGGACAAGGCTCTCTTTGGCAATGTCCTTAGGACCTAGTTTTGTTCATTTTTTGTAACTTTTTGTTTTAATGCAATATGCATATTTCCAAAAAAAAAAATCACCTTAAATCAGGACCAAACCAACCAGTTCGTTATGTAAATAATGTAAAACTATAACAAGGTTTATATTGTAAGGTAACTGTATTTTAAATGCCAAGTCAAGGTTTTAGTACTGAATTTTATACTCAAGAAAATTTCCATCAAATTTGTTAATGATGATTAGTAAGAAATGTCTGACTAAGATTCTTCAGCAATTGAATCTGACAGTTCTTAAACAAAATTTGAGTAAATTAAAAAATAAGATTTATCTAATTTAGATCTCAAAGCTCATAGGAGGGTTGTGGGATTTAGTTAATCAAAAAGCATTAAATTGAGATAAAGTGATGAAACTATTTATTTTTGCTTACTTCCCAGGATTTTGAGCAACCATTCGTTTTAACGATCCATCACGATGACACATATCAACTGCAGCTCTAACATCCTTATACATACGGCCATAACTGCAAAAATATAAAAACTACTCATTAATCAAACACATTGTATACAATTGCATATAGAAAATATTTCGAATGCTGTTGTCATGATAGGGAAAAAGAAACTCAGTAAGGAACAAAAATAACAAAATCAAGTGATTAACTGTGGCTTTACGGCACAGTAAGGTATGATCTCTAAGTATCTTCCGACATGAATAATTGCATGATATCTGTCCATAGCTACTGTGAATTAGCATAACAGAAATATGGATGCACATTAATGCATAAATGAGAATATGTCATTATGAATGACCATTCCGTGGCAAGAAAAAGTACCCAGCCACTCAATTTTTTCTTTAAAAGCAAAATACCATAACGACATAATGAAATGAATATGCCAATGGTAATTCTAATGAATTGTCAGATTATAATAATTAAGGATAACAGTATGACAAAGAAGAAAATAGTCATCATATAGGTGAGGAGATCCATCATAAGCTCTTATTTGTGCGTATGGGTTTCAAGATTAATAATTATTAGAGAGTGAAGATAGATTCATTTCTTATTTAAACCCCTCTTGAAAAATAAGATTTGAAACCTTCTATCCACTAGGGCTTCAAAACTAAAAAAATTGTCATCTGAATCAGAAAGCTACTTATAGTTTGTCGCATCAACATCCTATATAATAGTAAGGGGATGGGGGTCTAACTCTAGTGGATTTGTAATGATGGTTTCGGATGCTGAAAAGGTTTAAGTTATTTTCCGCATGACTTGTTTCAATAAGGGGAGATTTTGAAGGCTTTATTTCCACAATACCATTTAGAGTTTGCTCCAATTTTTGCATACATGTTGAAGGAAGATGTAACTGCTCACACCATACGTGAAGAGAGATTTTGAACCTTTACATGCTCTTCAATAAAATGACTATAAGGATAGATAACAAATGAATTCTTAATCATGGATAAAGTTTGAAACAAGCAGCGTAATTTTGTCCAAAGAATGCGCAAGTGTTACAATTCAAAATATACTTTCAAGTGCAAACTTCTGCTAAATTACAAGAAGCTACGTCAACATGAATCTGACATTCCAAAGACCTAACCAATGCAATTAGAACACTGGCCACGGACAGAAAAGAAAGGTGAACAGTAACAGCATATTCCTTGCAATGTTTTGAATAAATAAAAGAGAATTTAATGTAAACTTATTAAATTTAGAGTAATAATCCATATACGTTCTGCTTTGTTGAAAGTGATAAATTTAATATTAACCAAAGCTCACATAAAGCTGATATCATACATATGAGCTGATATCATATATACATACATATACATATATATATATAATATATTTTTTTTTTTTTGAAAAAGCCCAAGGGCTAATATATTAAAGATAAAGATACAGATAGGTTTGTATGGGTGGGCCTAAACACCCAACCCACACGGTACAACACACCAAAAAATGTAAAAGATGGTTACATATAGAAATAAAAAGAAACCTAAAAACCACCCGGGCGCTGAAAAAGTGTGGGTCATCCCAATCTAGTCTTACCTCTGGCTCTAGTTCTCGGTAGTGATCCAGCTAGCAGATTAGTAAGGTGCTGACCATTACCCGTAGTAACCAAAGTATCATCCATAAGACTCCTGAGCTCCAGTAGATCTCCATTCTTCTTCTTCCTCCTGGAAATAAAAACCTGTCATTCCTCCTCAGAAGAATCCACCTGAGGGGGTAGAGCTGAACCAGAAGGAGCAGTAGTACCCACAATAGGTTCTACAATATGAGAAGTGTGAGTTGCCGCTACACCGGTTACTTCTTGAAGAAGTGGAGCTGTGAGGTTCTCCTAATTATTAGTCTGAACACTATCATTTATAGGCAATAGTCCATCAGAATTGTTTTGAATGAAGTTTGTAGGTGTCAGCATCGCATCACTCGCAGTAACAGTAACAACAGTGTCATGAGGGGGTCCTCAGGTGCAACAGACATCTCCTGCCTGGAAGTATCATCCTCAGGTGGAACTAAAATGTCCACAGCAGTGGGGTTAAACGCATCTTTATTCACTTGACCCTTAGATTTCAAATTAGGATGAAATTTGTGGCATTTAGCAAGAATATGACCAAACATCTTACAGTGGGTACAATAAGGGGGTTTGTGTTCCATGACGATTTGTTGTCAATAACCATTATGGGTTGTGCCCAGCCAGACTTCAGTAACATCTGGTAAAGTAATATCCATTTCCACAAGTATTCTGGCCACCGAGGGTCTAGTTAGGTTGAAAGTGGGCAGATCTAATTTAGCTTCAGAGGATCCCCGTCCCCAATAGAGCAGAGAAACTGATGGTGAAAAAAATGCAGCTTGAGACCAGGTAAACTAAACCATACCGATACAGTGAGAGTTTCATGATTTTGGTTCATGTTAGGAGACCACTTGAGTAACTTCATTGATTT